TATTTATAAATTCTGGAGCTTACTTTTACCGAGACTATTAATAAAAAGCTCATACTAAATATTTTGACATAATTTTACAAATGATCCACAACGGTATAAGTAATCTTTTTGCCGTAAGACATTTATATTAATGAGAAAAACCAAAACGAAACAATTTTTACTATTAAAATACTTCCAAAAAATTATTCTGAGATATAAATAATATTTTTTAAGTATTCCTCATTCTAGTCTTATTTATACTTAACTTTTTAGTCATCTTCTTCAGTAAATATTTGATTTTTGTGTTTCCAAAGCATTGTATTCAGTTAGAATTCTGAAATAAAATCTATTGTGTTGCTATTTAATGCTGAATTCTGACAAGGATGAGTTCATACGCGTCATTTACTCTTCAAAAAAGAAAATAAAACGTAAAATATATTTTCCGAACAACTGATTTCAGCATCAAAATTATCTAAATTCCTGCTTTAAGCCCTTCAGAAACGTATTTTCTACAAAATTTATTTCAGTCATGTTTCTTTATGGAAGCATATTAGATATCAAGGATTGGTTATGGACGCATTTTAAATAAATTGTTGTTGTAGTATTTTCCTCTGCAATAAATAATAACGCCAGAAGAAGCTTACTGCTATTTACTCTTGGAAAATACACATAAATATAATTGATAGAAAAGAACGTTCCAAGGGAATCGTACTCTTAAAAATATTTAGAAAGTGATTTTTTAAAAAAAATTTTTGTCGTAAATTCTGTCTTCTTGAATTGCTTTTATATGGATGTACAAATTTCAAAATAAAACATGGAGCACTTGAATAATTTTTGATATAATTGATTGGATTGAAGAAAACAATTTTGAACATGAAGAAAACAATTTTGGTAAAATTACCGTACTGTATTGTAATGACATTTCTGGTAAGAAAAACTGTAGTTCTGGTCAATAAAATTAAAATATACGGCATATAAACAATTCATTTGGTAATATTTTCGTTCACATGATAACGGTTTACCGGAAATTTTGGTTTTTAAAATTATAGTTCTTACCAAAAATGTCCCACATTTAGTAAAAAATACAAAACTGAAAAGTTAATTTTACCTAATAAATATTTTTTATGCCATGCTTCAAGATATCATGATAAAATGATTAAACTTTACTACATTATCCAAATTTTAACTGTTACAAAACCGTATTTCATAGTTTATTTTACCAAAATTAAAAAAAAACACTTCAGTAAAAGTTACGGAGCTTTTGGGTATTCCCATAAAGCTGGAAGCGCACTAAACTTTCCCATGTTCTGATAGTTTTTATCATACTTTTTTTTCTCAGTGTGCAGATGATATTGAATATATTGATTTATCACGATAAGGAGTCACAAAATCAAACACTTTTTAACTTCCAAACAACCGATTTCAGCATATCAATTCCTAATAACCCCTTAACACACATATTTTTTACAAGTTTTATTACAGTCATGTTTTTTTTTTATTATTGGAAAGCATATTAGACGTCAATAATTGGTTATGAACGCATTTTAAATAAATAATTGCTGAGCAATTTTTTCCTAATGAATATTATTTAGTTTTTTAAAATGCATATTATGACAAATAAATATAATTGACATAAATGAGCATCTCAAGGGCACTTAACATTTCAAGTACACTTATTAATTTTTTATAAATCAATTTTTAAAATAAAATTATTGATAATTTTTTCACATTCAAAAGAATTTTTTACGGTGTAAGGTGCATTAAACAGAACCTAGAATATCTCAATTTCATTTGCAATAATGGTTCGAGAGTTTAACCAGAAAATTGCTAATTAATTATTACGGGGTATACTTTATTTTAGTAAGATTTTTCTGGTAGAGTATATAGTAAAGGTGATATCAGACAAATAAAATTGATTAAAATGAATGTTTCAAAGAATCGGTAAATTTGAAAATTACTTATAAAATATATCTTTTTTAAAAAGCTTAATTGTAAGTTTTGTTAACTTGAGTTTTTTTTTTAGGTTGTACATAATTACAGTTCGTACAATAAAATTCAGAACAGATGAATAGCTTTTGATCTAATGGTAAGGTTTTCGAGTGCTTAGAGGTGATCATAATAATTAAAAAAAATATTTTTCGTACACAATTGTAAAACTCTTTAAGCATAAACAATTTCATCCAAAATTAAATTAAGAGAAATAATAATTGTTTTAAGATTTATTATTTCTTTTAATAGTAGTAGTGGAAAAGTTCGCGAAGTTAAAAATTTTTTTTGGTTTTCAAATTATGTAATTTTAAATGACACAAAATGCAAAATTCGAATGAAATCACCTTAAAAGTTCTGAGCATTTTTTAAAATAAATTTTGAAAAATGTAGTATTATTGTCGTTTTGTTTTTCAAGACCTATTTGACTTTAAAATTTTCGGTTTTATCATTTAAAATTAAGCAATTTAAAATGTTAGTTCAATGTGTTCTGTTTTCTCAGTTGTATGCTATCTTTTCTCCCAATTGACACGATATAAGGCATTCTTTGCATGTACACGAACCTACATATGTGCTCAAAAGAAGAAAAAAATGGACTACCCTAAATAACTTTTGATCTAACAATCGGATCTTCACGTTCTAGGACTCAATTTTAATGGTTCAAAGAAGTGACTTCAAATATGCTAAATAATTGGTGTAGACGATATTCTAAGTTACGAAATCAGACACAAAAACGTTCTTTATCTCAATAAAACATAAATTTTCTTCTACGAATTCCGAATTCTGAGCACCAAAATATAGGGTGTAGTTACGAGAGAGGAAATTTATGAACGAATTTTTGCACACAATTATAAAACTCGTTTATTCAAAGATAATTCTATGCAAGATAAAAATTTGGTAAATATTTATTATTTAATATTATTTTAATTAAAAATAGTCGAAAATTTGGTGAATGTTAAGTTAAATATTTTTTACGTCATCTTAAAAATGTAATTTTATATGGCAAAAGGCAAAATTTGAGCGAAATCGTTCAAAAAGTTTCTGAGAAATTGATTTTTAAAAATACGACGTTTTCAAAATTCGAATTCAACCAGTTTTGCTCAAATTTTGTATTTTATTATTTAAAATTGCAATCTTTAAAATGATATAAAAATTGTTTACCCTGCTATTCAAAATTTTTTCGATTGTTGCGTGGAATTATCTTTCGACAAACAAGTTTTATAATTGTGTGCAAAATTTTTTCCAACTCACTTGAAAAGCTCTCGAGAAATCGCGAAATACGCAAAAAGTAAAATTAACAAATTTGGACAGCTCTCTGAACCAAATTATTGGGACCCGGATTTCCCGGATTGAGGCTATATCTTAGGGGTCGGAAATCCGAACCTTCCGAAAAAAAGGTATGTTTATTCAAAGAAAGTACGTTCTCGTGTCTAATTTCGCAATTTTTAAGTTGCGAAATAATGCAGACGATATTTTTAATATCGCGGACGATATTTTTAAATATTGTTTGCAGTAACTAATTAGCGTATTTGCGGTCACCCCCATGAACCTTTAAGATTGAGTCATAAAAAGTGAAGATCCAATCATTGCAAAAAGAAAAAAAAATATTCATTGTGGTCCGTTATTTTGATTTTGTGCACTGTACTACATAAAACAAATTTGTTTATTGTTACACATCCTTAGATAAGGTGGAATTCGAACCCGCTACCGCCAATCTACATAGCATTTGGTGAAACTAAGGAGGCCCCTTTCAAAACGAATAAGTAATAATTAAAACAAAAACAATTCCAACATTTTAAGTATTAATTTATTTTTTTATTGTTACAATCAATTATTCTGCTGTTCAAGAATCAAGTATTCTGCTATTGCTGTTAGATAGAAGGTCTTTAGTTCGATTTTTTCTCATATGATATCATTCATAGCGAAGTTGAGCTGAATTTCTGGGGCAGCACATCTGTAGTTATGATTGATCTCACTGCAATAGGATAATTTTCAAATATTTGGAAAATGGAAGTTTTAATTTGTCTTATCCTCACATATCGTAAGACATGGCCTTCAGTAGATCATTGAAGCATCACTAACTGTGGTCGGTGAGTTACCACTTTGATCATCCTGTGAAGGGACTGGTGGTACGGGGTATCGGTACTTGTTAAACTGTTCTACCGTAAAGTGCTCGACTTCAAGCGCAGTTCGTTGGGCTACCAAAGAAAGGGAGTCATCCCCTCTGCTGAGGATCAATATCGCAATGGCATCGGAGAATCCTCAGGGATGCATCCAAGACTATCGCCCGTTGTGCAGTTCTAGTGAGACGTAAATAAAGTATGACTACTCCTAGGTAGGTACTTTATTTACGTCACACTAGAGCTGAACAATAGGCTATTGGCGATGGTCTGGGAAACATCCCCGAGGAAGATCCGAAGACATGCCATCGCAATTTTCATCCTCTGCAGAAAGGATGGCTCCCCTGTTTTGGTAGCCCGATGACCTGCCCGAGAAGTCTACGTACTTTAAGGTAGAACAGTTTAACGAGGACCGATACCGCGCACCCTCGGTCTCTACGCAGGCTGATCAAAGTGGTCACCCACCCGCTTACTGACTGCAGCCAGTGATGCTTGACTTCGGTGTTCTACTGGGAAATGTGTCTTTGCGATCAGTCCACAGCGGGACAACTACTACTAGTAGTAATAGTTTAAATATTTTTGGTCATACTGTCTATTTAATTGTATTTATTTTATTGAAATTACATACATTTGCTGACTTGTGTGCTCAAAATATAAGCTTATAAGTCATTGTCAAGTAGAAAATACAGATAGAACAATTCAGAGAAAGACATCACAAAGAATACATCCAGGGTTACGGCGGGATTCGAACCCGCTACCTCCACGCTTAACAGAGCGTTTGGACCGGCGATACCGCTCGGCCAGGGAGGCCCCTATTTAATTGTATTAATTCTTAAATGTAGCTTATTATTGTGCTATCTGTCCTCTTCTACTTGACGAAGGTTTATAAGCCTATTTTGAGCACACATGCCTGAAAATTTATGTAATTACAATAACCAAACCAAATGTAGTTTATCGCTTTAGTGTGACGTATCCTCTGTTAAATTACCTTATCTTTGCTTTGTTCATCTAAGTTATTTGTTCTATTGATGAAAGTGTACTATTTATTATATGGAAACGCGTTAAGGTCTTACTAAAACTTTGTTATTAGTGAGTTTTAAACGTTATTTTTAATCGAATTGGGAAAAAAACGAGGTTTAAGGATTTTAAAGACTTTAATCAGTAAAAACCATGATGTGGCAATTGAGAATTCCGAAAGACGACATTTACAAGAAAGAGAACAGCTGATAAGAAGTAGACTGCGGGAAGTTATTTCGGAATATATTAAATGGGTAAGTAATTCACATATTATTAGACCTGTTTTGGAAATAAATAGTTGTTCCTTGTAGTTCAAAGCATATTTCATAGTGTTCAAATTAATCATGAAAGTTTGAATATTGTCAATAAATGTAAAAAAAATATATCGTTAAGACATCACTAATTATTTTAAGGATAATTGAACATTTTATAAAAATAACAATTTTAATTAAAATCATCTCTTTAAAGCAAATAAGCATTAATTTTAACTAAATTTTTAAATTAACAATTAAAATACTGTGAAACTTAGAAGTTTTTTTAAACATTAAACGTTACATTTATTAAGAATATTAGATAACTTTCACTTTCCTTCTGTCATGCAAGTTTAGTTATAACAATCTTCTAAGTAATGAAGCGAAGAATTTAATAAGAATATTACAGGACTATATTTTCAGTCACTGGTATTTTTCTCATCTTAAATTTATTATTAATTTTGAAGTTGAATTGTTTAGTAAGCTGTATTGCAGAATTTTTTTTTAAATTTCCTTTCGCTTATTTTATGTAATGTTTTTGAACTAGACTGGAAAAGAAATTCAAATAAAGTTGACTTGAGCGAAAGCTTATTTTAAGCGCTTTATTTTTCTTCAATGTGACGTGAAAGCTTGATAGTATATTTTTCGATACTTATTTAACATTATAAAAAGGTTCGGTTTTATTTATTCAGTTGAAACTTTTGCATTCAAGTTCAGTTTTTGCAAAAGCCTTTCTTTCTCTTTGTCTACTCACAAACCAATCTGTCTGTGGATGGAGAATATCGTATTCAAACGAAATTCCTTATTTGTTATTGAGATTTTGACCTTTAACACATAAAGGTTTTTCTTTTGCATGAAAGAAATTTATTACTCAACATTTTCAAAACATTTGTTACTGTATGAGCTTGCTTTACTTTTCATTTATTTATTTATTAAACTTTTTTACTGGACTTTGTAAACAGTTCGTACGAAATCATTGAAAATTTCATTTTTGAATTTCTTTCATTTTTAAGGATTTTTTTTAATGTTTGATACTGGCTTTTCAAAAGAGTAAAACAGGTATTGTTTATGGTTTGGTTCTTTTTCTGAAAAATTTGTTCAACTGTAAACCATAATGTATGTACCTTGAACAACATGTTGTAAATTGGTATAATCTTAATAAGGTTCTTAATCTTAAGGTTGTTAATCTTAATAATCTTAGTTCTGAGCGCTTTTCGCTTCAACGCGGTGATTTTCACTTGTGATTATTCATTTCATATAATTGTCTATATATAAATATCTTCATGAAGGATTATAAATGAAAATTTAAATGAAAAATCCTATCAAAACATGACAAAGAACTTAGCTGGGAAAAAAGCTGGGATAAAAATCCTCAAAACTAGTTTGATCAATTAAAAAGAAACATTAAAATAAAATGTGAATATCTTGTATATGAACTGTTAATTAGTTATGTTTTTGTCGAAGCAAATATGGGAATTTTTGTAGCATTTTTTAGTGATTTTTGTTTTAACTATAAGTCTTCATATTTTTCCCTATTTCTGAAAGCAAACTTATTATCTTCTCTAAATCATTACAAAATCGTAGAAAAATATTGGATAATATTGATATTGGAGAATTTACTGAAAATTTTTATTTACTCTTAAAAATTAAAGTCAATAAATTGAAACTATATCCTCAACAAAATGCTTAGTTTGCGTAATTTATTCTGTTTTCTTACGAGTAAAGGGACGGGAAAAATTTAGCACGCTAATAATAACTAAACATGCTGCGATAAAAATCGAAAACTTTCAAATTAATTGTAAGGCAGGAGAAAACGTGAATGTTGTAAGAAATGACATTCAATTCCGCTGCCTTAGACGCATCCGATTTGGAAACTAACAGTAAAGTTTGTTTCGTTAATGCCTGAGCTAACTGAAGCTACTTTAGGGACATTGCTCAAGAAACTACTTAAAGGAAAGTAATATTTTCCTGATACCAGATTTCTGATGGAATTCGGTTCCTCAATTGGAATTTTATCAGAAGCTAAATTTATCGGAAAGATTACTTCTCAGTTTCAATATATAAAGTGTTCTGTCATGCTTTTAGTTCTGAATGAATACATAATGTAAAGATAAATAGCGTAGAAGAGTGCTTTAAATTAGATTGCTTAGTTAATCTTTGATTTTTAATTATTGGTGAAAGTGTTCATTGATTGGAATGACTTATTGGTTGAGTTCAGGGCGTCTGAAAGTGCATGGATATTAAGACGGAAAAGAGCAAAAAAATGGAAAGGAAATAATTTTTTTTATTTAAAAGATAGTACGGTAAAAACTAACAGAATATGGTATAAATAATATATAGCATCGCATAAAAACCATTTATTTGGTTAAAATTTCTTTTCAGCTTTTTATTTTTAACTAAAGTTGCGGCAATACGAACTATAGTTTTAAAAATCAGTTTAATAATTATATTTATACCGGAAAACATATTTTTTTTTCAGATTGATAGAGTACTACTAGGATCTAATTTTTCATCTCTTAGTTAATTTATTTTTACACTATTTTGAAAAAAATTATACTCTTAATATATTTGTTTTTAGATTTGTTGCTGACTTAATTATCTCTAATTTTCAAGATTATACAATTTTTTTAAGTAATATTTACCCCGAGGAATTAATATTGCTTCGTAATCATGACAAATTTTAATTTGTTGACTTTAGGCATTAAAAAAGAAAAAAATATCTACTTTGTTGGTTTATACGATAAAAGAAGTGATTTTAATCTTAATATAAACAAACTAATTCTTGGAATTCTAATGTTTCTAAAATCTTTTATTTAATACCATTTTTAATCAAATGAATAGAATTAAAAGAATATGTTGTAATGTTTATTTATCCAAAAATCAAATAAACAAGCTCTTTCAAAATTTGATAAAAAACAATGGATACCTAACTAATGAAATTACGTTCTATATTAAATCATTGAGTTAATTGTAGGTTATTATTATTTATAAATTTACTAAAAAATTCCTTGTTAACTAAATTTATATTTTAAACTTTATATATATTTACTTTATATATATTTATAATGTTTACACTATTGTATTGATATATTTCACGTTGGAACTATTAATACATTATTAGAAAGCACTCCTTTTTGCGATATAATTATGTGAGCTGATAAGATTATCTTTTCATTAAATTGTTTTTCGACTTTTTAATAATTAAATTTTTTCAATAATTTTCTTCTTTTTACCTTAATTTTTATTATTTTCCATATTTTCTCTATTTTTTAAATTTGTGAAACGGCTTCTAATAAGGCCCCGAAAATTTTTTAAAAAAAATATTAAAAAGAGAGAAAAACTAAAATCATTTGTTTTTTTTGACAATTATTTAATTTTCATTATTAAGGCCATTTATCATTATTAATGACATTTATTAAGGACAGCGTAATGCTATTCATATAAATAATAAATGAATAATTGAAATAAATGAATGAGAAATATATATTTAAGAAAGCTTTAGTTAGTTTGTTAATTTGTCTTAAATAGCTCAATTTAGTTCTCGGAGTTGTTAGAATAGAATTTATTGGACTGAAGCCAACCATATTAGCTTGGTTTTAAAATTAAAAATTGCTTTATTACAAAGTTTTGAACATATTTGCGCAACATTTATATTTGTCCACAATTTACCCAGAAAAATCTTTAAGGTCAACTAATAAGAATGACTATATGAATAGCATAATTTTCAAATATAATATATGCTGGGATGAGAAATTAAATAAGGTATAATCTATCATAAAAACTTTGCTTACGATTGAATATCATTGGTATTCTTTTATCGACTCTAAATGGATCCCCTAGTTCTGATCGATCCCTAGTTATATTAAATCAACCCACGGTGGTCAATATCGAGCATTTTGGCAACCCCTTTTTTATGACAGTGATTACAAAACTTCCTGAGCACACGCTGTCCTTAATAAAAGTTTGCAGTAGTTTTTTATTTTTAAGGGATAAATACACTGAAGAAAAAGTATGGTCAAAACTACCAAAATATGGTAAAATACATAGTATTTCTGGTCCCATTGAAACACCAAAAAACACAGTAATTTTTACGGAAGTGCTTTGGAAATGACTTTGGTAAAATTACAATAAAATATGGTTTTATTAACATGCTGTTTGGTAATATATGGGTTGAATATTGGTAATTTTATCAGGAATGGCATAAAACCATTTATTTAGTTACATTGACTTTTCAGTTTTGTATTTTCACAAAATGTGTGGTAATAAGAACTATAATTTTGAAAATCAGAATTTCCTGTTAACCGTTACCATACGATCGGAATAAGTACCAAATGAATGGTTTGAGTACCGTTTATTTTGGTTTTATTACCGGAATTATGGCTTCTTTCTTACCAGAAATATCTTTTTTCATACAATTACTGTAATTTTACCAGATTTCTTTTTCTTTGTGTCGAAATGGATAGGATATTTCTAACGAAATTTTAATATTTCTTACAACTTATTCTATTGGTGCAATTCTGTAGCAATTCTGTACAATTCTGTAAGTTTCTCTGACATACAGTCTTACTACTTGAACTATATTAGAAATCAAGCAGCTATTAAGTTCCTGTGCAAAATGAAAATACTTGTTCAACAGCGCTATTTTCTAGCCTTCAATCATTTTTGTTGTTGGCTTGTGGATTTCAGTTATTCTCCCTAGAGATCTTGATGTCTGGAGATCTAGTGGGTTAACAATTCGGTGAAAACTTCTCATTTTCCATAAAATCTTCTATCAGATGAATGTTATGAGGCAACATGTCATCGCCGCCTACTAAAATAAAATCATAGCAAACTACACCCATGAGAAGACAACTTAGGTCTCGAAGACTTTATCCCTATTTATTAACTCAGTCTAGGGTAGTGTATTTCCGATAGATGGCGCTGTAAGTATGGTCCATTTCTTCCATCTTGTTTTGATGTATAACAGTTTTGCTCTCCATTATTGTGGCTGATAGCGGAAATTT